TGTCAGGAGGGACCAGTCGCTGGAGAAGGATATCATGTTTGGCAAGGAGGAGGGTCAGAGAAAAAGAGGAAGACCCCCAATGAGATGGATTGGCCAAGTGCCAGCATCAGTGGGCTCAAGCGTGGCAACAATAGTGAGGTTGGCCCAGGATCAGGCAGTGTTTCATACTGCTATGCATAAGGTCACTATGAGTCAGTACCAACTCAATGGCACCTAACAACATCAACTCCTGTGTTTCAGTTAATTGCCTTTGTCTTAAAAACCCCATGAGATTGTAGATGCTACCACGTAGCGACCTACAGGCTTAGGCCTCTGTCAAGTGTCTTGGACCCATTGAATTTCTGACAAATGCTTTGTTGTTGTTGTTAGGTACCATCAAGTTAGTGCCGATTCATAGAGACCCTGTGTACAACAGAACAAACACTGCCCAGTTCTGGGCCAACCTCACGATTGTTGCCACACTTGAACCCATTGATGCTGCCACTTAGCCAATCCATCTCTCTGGGGATCTTCCTCTTTTTCTCTGACCCTTCCTCTTTTTCTCTGACCCATGGCACATCACCACCACTACCACCTTACCAAACATGATATCCTTCTGCAGTGACTGGTCCCTCCTGACAATATGTCCGAAGTATGAGAGACGAAGTTTGGTCATCCTGGCCTCCAAGCAGCACTCTGGCTGCACTTCTTCCAACACAGATCTGTTTGTTCAATTGGCAGTCCCTGGTACTTTCACTATTCTCCTGCAACACCACAACTCAAATGCGTCAGTTCTTCTACGAGCTTCCTTATTCACTGTCCAGCTTTTGCACGCATATGAGATTATTAAAAATACCATGGCTTGGGTCAGGCACATCTTAGTCCTCAAGCTGACATCTTTGCTCTTCAACACTTTAAAAAGGTCTTGTGGAGCAGATTTGCCTAATGCAATGCATTGTTTGATTTCTTGACTGCTGCTTCCATGAGTATTGATGGTTGATCCAAGAAGAATGAAGTCCTTAACAACTTCCATATCAATATCAATATTTGGAAGTGGTTCATCTCTCTTTCTTCCTAGTTTTTCTTCATCTAGAAGTTCATCTGAAACCTGTCTACTGTAGGTGGTGACCCTGTTGATATTTAAAATACCCGCGGCATAGCTTCCAGAATTACAGTAACTCACAAGCCACCACAGTACGACAAACTGATGGACAAGTGGTGGGACAAATGCTTTAGATGGATAGAAATTCATGAAAATACAAAATCACAAGAAATGAGTACTATAGGTAAATAAAGGAAAACATACCAAATCACCTATCACCCGTGTGTTAGGTTGTCGTACTGTGGTGACTGTCAGGATGTGACGATGATGAAAGCTATGTCACCAGTGTTTCAAACACCAGTAGGTTTCAGTGGAGACAGACTAGAAAGAGAAACCTGGTGCTCTACTTCTGAAAATTAGCCAATGAAAACTCTACGGGTCACAACACAATGAGTGATGGAAAACAAGCCCCGTAGCTAGGCTGACATTCAGTGTGCATGGTGGCTGCATCAATGACTGTGAAGATGGTACCAGAAGAACAGTGTTTCATTGTGTTGTCCATGAGTCACCAGTACTTGAAGCTGACTTGACAGCAACTAACCACACAGCAACAGCATCAAATCAGAAAACATTTCATACCTACTTGATTGTAACTATTAACCAATACAAATTGTATTCTGTTTGTATTGTTAAAATGATCCAATATTCAAGGTGAATAAGACCATGAATGCTACCTGAAGCTCAGACATAATTGAGCATTTCGGTATGCCTTATGTTATGTCTTATGTCTATATGGTAACACTTAGCTGTTAAGATGTGAGCACACAAGCCTTCTTACAGGAGCTGATTATGCAGTTAAAGAGAACGAGTGAACTTCTAATTTGTGGAACTCTTCTTGGTTTGCCACTAATAATTCTGAATCCTTATTTTTTCTGTGCTGGTGTAACACCATAGGATAAGCACTCAACCCCAAGGTCGGCTTGAACGACAAGGTTTGACCTAACAGGCCGCTCCTTGGAAACCCTATATAGGGTCAGTATGAGTCAGAACTAATTCATTCAACAGCACTTAGCAACAACACCAACAACAGTTGAGACATCAGGACCAGCTGGATGTAAAAGATTGTGGTAAAAGTTATGCTGATTGTTTTGCCAGAAGAGCCCACTGCTTGGGAAAAGAACCAATTCTGATTGGAAACAAAACCTGACTTGTGTGTTTGAAATTGAGTTGCAGATTAATAGGCTAATTAATAAACAAGGAATTTTTAAGGGGCCCAAGGTAAACACAAATAAAATCTTTCCAAATTCCCAAAAGGAAGAATGATCAGTTACAAGCAGAGCCTGTGATTTGTGGGTGACGCTGTTTAACAAAAACATCAGTATTTATTGGTGCGTAAAAATGTCCAGTGTGTCACATTTTCTAGTTTCTGGTTCCACATCCTAGGCTGGAGTCTCTAATCTGAAAAATAAAGGTGTTTCCCTTCTGTTTCTCACCACCCTTCTGGGGGCTGTCAGTTGATACTGGTTGGAACTGCTTTGTTTGGACTGCCTTCTTCCTATTCACCTACACTGAGCTGATGGGAATCATCTGTAGAGTCCTTGAACCCATTCAGAACCAAGGATGGTGGTGGTGATGTGCCATCCAGTCAGTCCCAACTTCAGAAACCCTGTATAGGGCATCCGAGGCTGTAAATCTTCACAGGAGCACAACGCCTCACCTTTCTCCCTTAGAGTGGCTGGTGGATTCGAACTGTTGACCTTGAAGTTAGCAGCCCGATGTATAACTCACTATGCTACCAGGACTCCTAGAACCTAGATAGGGAAACTCTAATCTTTGGCATTTATCACCTCTGGAGGGATGTATTTCGGGCTTTCATGGTTTATCATAAGAGTTTCAATTCCTGTTGAAAGTGCTGTCCCGTTGTAAAGCTTGCTGTGCCATAAGCAAGTCCTCAGCATAGATGTGCCTTGACTATCTTACCTGCCTGGGTCAGAGGGGCTATTCATGTTCTCTGAAAATCCTGCAGCAGAAGTTTGTCAGTTTCCCACTAGGGACAGCTTTTCTTCTTTCTTTACTGTGTTATCTCCTTTTCAAAAATATACTTCCCACATATTCTTTTGCACATTTTCTAATCCCATTTTCTTACCCTTTCCACTAAATTTTCTTCCCTTCTCACATTTTTACAAACAACTATTATCTAATCATCAGAACATTAAGCATCTTTCTTAATTCTAATTTGTGTGCTTTCCATACGATCACTTTGTGTTTTCTCTGGCATGGTTTTCTTTTATCTGGTTCTTCTAGATTTTGCCTACATTCAGATGCATACAATATTGTTGTTGTTAAGTGCTGTCAAATCATTTCCAATGCATAGCATCCTGGTAAAAGGCTTCCGAAGAGCAGCTGGTAAGTTTGAACTGTCGACCTTGCAGTCCAATGCTTATCCAACAGCGTTACACAAAATAGTTAAGCTCAAAATGTATGGGTTTAAAATTTTCACAATAAGGTGAATGAATAATAAAATAGTAACAATAAAAAGTAGAAAATGTTGATACCTACTATGACGTGGGGAATCCTAGTGTGGCACTGTGGGTTAATGCAATGGACTGCAAACTGTGGCATGGGTGGGAACACAGTGGCTCTGTAGGATAAGTGCTGGACTGCAAACCACAAGGTCAGCAGTGCAAGCCTACCATCCAATTTGCAGGAGAAAGAAGAGGCTTTCAGCTCCACAAAGATGTACAACCTGGGAAACTCTATACAAAGTCGCTATAAGTTGGAACCGACTCGGAAGCACTTAACAACAATGTGACATGGATAAACCTCAAAACATTATGCTGAGCTGTAGAAGTAAGATTCAAAAGACCAACTATTATATGAATCTATTTATATGAAGAGGGGTGATGTTGGCAAAAAAAAAGTGGAGTAAGAACCTTTGGAAAACTTCTCCTCCGTAATAGCCAAAGAATTGTCAAAGTCAATTTTTTTCAGAACTCTGGCAGTTGACTTAAGGTACAGAAATCTTTGAGCATTTATTTAAGAAAAATGGCTAGATCGCAATAAGAAGCGTGAGCTCTGTGGTGTTAGAACCCTTGTCCTGCTACCCTCCTGCATGCTTCAGCACCGCAGTAGCCTGAAATCGTCATCCACAGACACATGAAATCAGCAGCCTGACAGTCCCCAGAAGGGGCAGGGTGGGGCTGGACTCCTTCTAAGGCTCAGTGAACGGTCATCTGACCAGTCAGCAAATTTCCTGGAAGACCATTTGCAAGATTGTCTTTATTTGGTCTGACTCACTGTTCTTCCAGTACAAAAAGCCTTTTCCTTGAGGATATTTGTTGAAACCATTCAGAGGCATCCATTTATTTTCATGGCTGCCTGAGGTGATGAATTAATAGTTGGGGAAATCAAGAGGCTAAACAAAACACTCAAAAAGAAAAGCTGGGGGCTAAGAAAATCATGCCAAACCCTCTGTGTTACAGAGTAGAACTACTTCAGAGGGTTTTCTCGACTGCCATTTTTATGGAAGCAGATCTTCAAGCTTTTCTTTCACTGTGCCAGTACGTGGGTTTGAACTGTTAACTTTTAGCTTAGCAGTC